TACAGCATCCACAGTTCTTTCGGTTTTTATTTAGAGGGATTTCTCCTCTCTCCTGGTGTCATTTACATTGAACAGCCAGGGAGACTCCACTAAAGTGCAAACAATCATGAAATGATTGTAGCACAAGAGACCGTCCAGCAGTTGTATCTTATAACTTCATGACTTCCTTCCATTAGTTCTCTATGGTGCCTAGTTAGGAAGCACAGGGTCCCATATACGGTTGGTGTAGTTGGCATGTCACTGGACTAGTAGTCCAGATACCCAGGCTAATGCTTTGGAGATATGGGCTCAAATCCTCCCATACCATATGGTGAAATTTAATTCAATAATAAAAAACCTTGGATTAAAAGACAGTCTAAGGTGATCTTGTAGCCATTGTCAATCGTTGGGGAAAAAAAACACCCATCTGGTTCAGAGAGATAGCAAGAACTGCAGATGCTGGAGTCAGAGATAACAAAGTGTGGAGCTGGAGGAACACAGCAGGCCAGGCAGCAGAGGAACAGGAAAGCTGATGTTTCGGGTCGGGACCCTTCTTCAGAAATGAACCCATCTAGTTCAATAATGTTCTTTAGGGAAGGAAAGTTGTCCTTACCTGATCTGGCCTACGTTCAAGTTCAGACCCAAATCCAATGTGGCTAACTTCCTGAAATGGCCCTAGCATTCCACTCAGCTCAAGGAGCACTATCAGAGAGACAGTAAATACTCACCGAACCACAATCCACAAACAAATTTTAAAAAACAAACAAATCAATCACGCAGCAGTCTTGTGGTCAAGAGGAGACCTGACCTGTGAGCAGTTTCCTCATGTTTTTCAATGCCTTTCCAATATCAACCTTGTAAATATGATCATCACATCTTTTCCTGTGTCTCTGTATTCTTTTTATAATACGGCAACCAGAACTGTACACAATCCTTTTAACCAAGATTTTTATATGGGTTTGGAAGAACTTGCTTACACTTCAATTTTATCTTTCTAGAATTAAGTGTCCTAGTTTGCTTCCTTTTATCATGGCATGGCTAACGTGTGATGTAACTTTTAGCAATCAGTGTATTTGTATTCCAAGATCCCTTTGTTCCTGTACTCACCTAGACTTGCATCATCGAAGCAATAAAAGTGACTTCCCTACTCTTTCTACTATGATTTGCTACCTCCTATTTATTTGTTAAAATATATTTGCCGATTAATAAAATTGCACAATGGGCAAATAATTTCCGGAGTAATGGACTAATCTAATCAATTTGGTTCCACCTGCAAATTTAGAAATTGTGAATTCCAGAATTCAAATTATTATTGCAAATTGTAAACAGTAATAGTATCAGTACTAACCCTTGAGGAACAGTACTCATTTTCTGTCACTCTGAATAACTACCATTTATTGTGGAGCAACTTATCAAAAGGCCTTTTGAAACTCCAAGTAAATCACATTTACTGCATTATCACTGTCTACTCTCTCCAGCACCTCCTCAAAAGTCTGATATTGCTGCTGAAGTAAGATATTCTCTTTTGAAATCGATACTGACTATTCGTTATTATGTTTCTCATTTCTAGATGTTCTTTTACCTTCTTTAATTGAAATTCCATTATTTTTCTCATGACCTATATTCAGTTCTAGTCCCCATCAGTATTCTAGCACTACACCTTTTTTGTTTTAAATGAATTATTAAATAAGCAGTAATTCCTCTCATCGTCTCCCTAGAGCCTTTTAAATTATGGTCCACCCAGAATAGGAACTCTAGAGTATATTTAATTTATTCAATGAGCCCTTTTTCTAAAAAAAACTCTAAGGCACTTATCTTGTTTGTCATCTCATCACTCAGTGCCATGCCTGCTTGTTTCATTTCCGTAGTAAATACTGAAGCAAAGTAATTCTTGAATATTTCTGCCATATGTCTACTGTTACCTGCATTATTAATATCTTTAACGGCCCTCTACTATATTTTTATTGATGTGCTTGTAAAATATTTTATAATTTTATTTGTGTTCCTTGATAACTCACTGTCATTGTTCCTCTTTGCTTTAATTTCTTTTAAGTTTATTCCCTGATCTCTTCATATTATGAGTATTATGAGTAATACCTCTGCTTAAGAATGTTCTTAAGAACTAAAAACACAGTCTCTTTCCTAAGCCTCAATTGTTTTCTTATATCTTATTCATGCATGTAGCCTATTGTTGAGTTTGTTCTCTTTTAGAAGAATGTATTTTCCTTGCACTCTGTTAAACAGCATTTTAAATGTTTCCCATTATTGTTCTATAATCGCTGTTTGCCAATATTGTCACTCATTTTATTTTCCTTAAGTCCTAATGAATCTTCCCTTTTTGTGCTTTTTATATATTGGATTAGAAAGCTCACCTGTATACACATTGTAGGAACTCAATTCCTTTACCCTCTATACCTACCTATTCTATCCAATTAACATCAGGATAGATGCAATGCCCCAAGATTATTAATTATGAGTCTTACTGAAATCCCTCACTTGCACATTTATTCCCCCACCTTCTACAGTTTGCGGGTTAGGAGTTCACACCTATCAATGTGATTAATTACCTCATATCTTTGTCCATATAGATCCTATTTTTGTTTTGCTAATTGTAGTATCTTTTCCACTGCCCACGTTATCCCAACTACTCTTTCTCCTCTTCTTTTCTATCTTATCTAAAATATGCCACAAAGCTGAATCAGCATTCCCAGTCCCAATTTTTCAGTAATTAGTACTACATCTAGTTCCTCCCAATGCACGATTGTGCCCAGCGCTTCTGCTTTATTACAGGCACCATTTCATTGGAGTATACACACATTAAGATGGAATTCTACTAAAAATGAGTTATTTTATGATTAAACATGTTGTAAGACTCCCATTCCACAACTCCATTTATTCTCTTGCCATCAATGCCCTCCCTTACTTTAATCTTTACAAAATCCTCCTGCCCGGTTTTGTTTACATTTAGGTTACTTATGTTTTTTGTTGATCCTTCCTCAACTGTTAACACTTTAAAGCCATCACCACTTCTCCATTTACCCTTTCCACTAGTCCACCTAAACCACTGCAATTCAGGTTCAGTACAGTTCCCTACTGTGCTTGAACTGGTGTCAACATCCCATTAGCCAAGTGTTAATTGCTCCGATCTGATCCAATGTCAATTTGTACACAGCTTGCCCCATAACCCAAAGATCATTACTCTCAAGGCCCTGCTTTTAAATTCAATGCTTAACTCCTGATGCTTCCTGTTCCTACTAATACTTTGTTCCAAAATGAAATGCAACAACTGGATTTATACCTTCCTTCTCCAAATTCCTCCCAGCATTTTCCTTAAGGATATTCCTTAATCTGACAATTGGTAGGCAAAAAATGTTTTAGAAGCCTCATTCTTTGCTGCAGAGAACATTATCTATCCTTAATAATAGATTCACATGCATTACTACATTTGTATTCTGCTTTTTGCAATTCTAAACAGCCTTCTGAGCCACTATACCTTGGTCTGCATTGTGGTTCATCCATGCAGTCTTTCTTCAAGTAGATATATTGTACCTGTTAGACAGGACCAGGGTCGACAGGATTTCCTTCCCAACCTCTCCTAAATCCCAGATACCCAGACCCCAGTAGTCCTAGCTTCTCTTCACTGAATCAGGTGCTTTCCTCCACAGCAAGTCTGTATTCTAGCTCAGTCCAGAAATTCCTCTTCTTCGCCAAACTCACCCACCAGCTCAATGACTGAGCCAGACAGATAAGAAACATGTACTGCAGAAGTGTTTGTTGGGGACAGTCCTGTGGGAAGGCTGCCAACTTCAAAGACCCATTGCACCCTGGTAATGCTCTCCTACAACCTCTTCCGTCAGGCAGAAGGTACAGAAGCTTGAACATACGCACCAGCAGGTTCGAGAATAGCTTCTTCCCTGCTGTTATGAATAGACTAACTTCAAATAATGCTGATCTTGTTAATGTTGATCCTGCCTAGCACACGCCCTGTGTCATGTAACTTCTATGCATCTGTCTAGCTTTTCTCACCCTATGATCTGTGCATACTTGATTACAATGATCTGCCTGTACTGCTCATAAAAGAAAGCTTTTCACTGTACTTCGACACATGTGACAATAAATCAAACTCTATTAGGTGAGCAAGTACTCTGCCAAAGTCACACTAACTTGCTCTGGACTTTATGCACAAGCAAATAACCGCTAGTATTGAATCAGAGATAGTAGGAACTGCAGATGCTGGAGAATCCGAGACAACAAGGTGCAGGGCTGGATGAACACAGCAGGCCAAGCAGCATCATAGGAGCAGAGAGGCTGACGTTTCGGGCCTAGACCCTTCATCAGAAAAGGGGGAGGGGAAGGGGGTTTTGAAATAAATAGGGAGAGAGTGGGAGGCGGATAGAAGAGGGATAGAGGAGAGGATAGGTGGAGAGGAAACAAACAGGTCGAAGAGGCGGGGATGGAGCCAGGAAAGGTGAGTGTAGGTAGGGAGTTAGGAAGGGGATAGGTCAGTCCAGGGAGGACGGACAGGTCAAGGGGGCGGGATGAGGTTGGTCGGTAGGAGATGGAGGTGCGGCTTGAGGTGGGAGGAGGGGATAGGTGGGAGGAAGAACAGGTTAGGGAGGCAGGGACGAGTTGGACTGGTTTTGGGATGCGGTGGGGGGAGGGGAGATTTTGAAACTTGTGAAATCCACATTGATACCATTGGGCTGCAGGGTTCCCAAGCGGAATATGAGTTGCTGTTCCTGCAACCTTCGGGTGGCATCGTTGTGGCACTGCAGGAGGCCCAGGATGGACATGTCGTCTGAGGAATGGGAGGGGGAGTTGAAATGGTTCGCGACTGGGAGGTGCAGTTGTTTGTTGCGAACCGAGCGTAGGTGTTCTGCAAAGCGGTCCCCGAGTCTCCGCTTGGTTTCCCCGATGTAGAGGAAGCCACACCGGGTACAGCGGATGCAGTATACCACATTGGCAGATGTGCAGGTGAACATCTGCTTGATGTGGAAAGTCTTCTTGGGGCCTGGGATGGGGGTGAGGGAGGAGGTATGGGGGCAGGTGTAGCACTTCCTGCGGTTGCAGGGAAAAGTGCCGGGTGTGGTGGAGCTGGAGGGGAGTGTGGAGCGGACAAGGGAGTCACGGAGAGAGTTGTCCCTCCTGAAAGCAGATAAGGGTGGGGAGGGAAAGATGTCTTTGGTGGTGGGGTCGGATTGCAGATGGTGGAAGTGTCGGAGGATGATGCGTTGGATCCGGAGGTTGGTGGGGTGGTACGTCAGCCTCTCTGCTCCTATGATGCTGCTTGGCCTGCTGTGTTCATCCAGCCCTGCACCTTGTTGTCTCTTTAACCGCTAGTATTTACTCCTGCAGGAACTTCAAAGACCTGAGACTGCCCCTACTAACCAGGTCAGCCTTGGGAAGACAGGAATCAAATGCCAAATTTACTTTAGTCTTGTGTCTAAAAGGCCAACATCAGACTCTCCAATCTTTCAAAACACTATCTACTCCAACAGTCATTCGGTAGAAGATAACTTGAATAATGCTGAAAAGGGAGACATGTTACCAAAGCTCTTCATGTTATCAGGAGCACTGCAAGAATGCCAAATTTCAAACAAACATAATATTTATACTACTTTGTGAAAAGGAAGAAAAGGATGGCAGTCCTGAAGCCGCTGTTTACAAAAACCCAAAACAAAATGTCTATTGTTAAATGCAATTCCACAATTTGGCAGCACTTGCTAAATACTGCCTAGTGTGCTAAAGTGACACTTGCAACTAAGTAAGATTTTTAGTTCAGCTCCCAAAGTGGCTCATAGTCACTTGTTAGAAGTGACACAAAGTCATACAAAGGAACACACTCTCTGAAAACAAAGGATTATGTTCAATTTTTGCTCCATATTTGAATTATCCAGAGTTGGAGAAGCCTGTAGTTCACTGTTGTTTTCTCCAAGAAAATGCCTAAGCCAGAATTGACCTGCCCTACTAATCATATTTAAAAAGCAAAACATTGTAGATGCTGGGTATCTTTAAAAAAAAAACTAAAGTGCTAAACAAACTCAGCACATTTGGCAGCATTTGTGAAGAGAGAAGCAAGCAAAGTTAACATTTTGAGTCCCATGACTCTTTAGAAATCCTATACTATTTGCTCTTGTTGTTTCTAATTGTCAAATCTGCTTGAAGTTTGGCATTCTTATGTTTGTCCTGATGAGTACAAGACAACAAAGTTTCATTGATACGTCTTTCCAGTGATACTATTTATTTTGTTAGAAAGCCATTTATGAAGGGTAATGTCACTTTCATTTTGCACCATTATTAAAAGCAAACATTGTTTAGAGAAATACTTTAAAGCTCCTCTACTTTTCATAATTGTTTCAGAAAATGCCTTTGCCCATGTCCAAACGGAATAAACCAGCACATCTACCACTATTCCCTTGCTTTTAGAACTCTCAACCAGCTCCCTTACAAGTAAACAATGAAGGAGGAGGTAGCATGACTTCAAAATAACTGTTGAAACATTCCGAAATCACCCAGCCCATGGAGATTACACTCCTGATTGGGAAATCAATATTTCCAATTTATGCATTATTCCCAAGATGGGATCTTCAAATCAACTTTTGGCAGTTAGCATTGGCATTATGGAACACTACCAGTAATTTGCATCAGAGCAATCCAGGAAGAATTCTCAGTGCTAAAATGAGATAATTAGGTGAAAATTTGGTGGTGAAAGGGACAAGAAACAATAAAAGGTGGAGAACATTAATGAAAACAACTTTAAGAAACAGTTTCTCCAGTTTATCTTACCATTTGCCAATAGTTACCAGGATTCAGGCACCTTTCTTTTTTCAGATAAAGCTGTTAATGAATTGTTCCACTGCTCTAAGGGCGGTTTGTAATCATTTAATTATTAATCCATTACTCCAAATTCCTTTAATCTTACTCCAAGATTCTAAGATAAATATTTCTTATTAACTTTTAAAGACCCAGAAACCTCAACTGTAAGATTGCGCTTTGGTTTCACATTAGCCCAATGCCTCAACACTCTCCAACATTTCCTCTCTTGCCTGCTCAGTGCTCAATTTCCTCACGAATTGCAACATATGTTATTTCTTCAGGGGTTCTCTGTAAAATGATTAAGAATTACAATTCGAAATAGGGGTGACATGGTGACTCAGTGGTTAGCACCGCTGTCTCACAGCATCAGGGAGCCAGGTTCGATTCCAGCCTTGGATGACTGAATGTGCAAATTCCATACATCCTCCCCAGGTCGGTGTGAGTTTCCTCCATGTGCTCTAGTTTCCTCTCACAGTCCATAGGTGTGCAAATTAGGTGGATCGATCCTAGTAAATTGTTTGTAGTGTCATGGGATGTGTAGGCTAGGTAGGTTAGCCATGATTGTGGGGTTATGGGGGTCTGGATGGAATGCTCTACAGAGGGTCAGTGCAGCTGAATGGCCTCTTTCTGCAGTGTAGGGATTCTATGAATCTGTGTAGCATTAAATCTTTAAAGTATGTTTTGCTTCGTCTTGCATTACAAAAGTTGAGGTTTGTGTGTCTTACAAAACACCCAGCAAAAACTGACAATTCCAAATCCTCAAAAATAAAGCCTTAACAATGTACTAATTTATGTGAAGGTTCAAGTGTTAGTTTGAGTGTCAGATCATTGAAACACCAGAGCACAAATAAAGTAACTGCAGGAGCTCGTATACAGAATCTTCCTCCCTGTTGCCAATATTCAGAACATTACAAAATGATTAGATGACAAGACAATTCTACAGGTTTCAGTTCTTAAAATAGCTAATAAATGACATCCACCGGCTGTTCGGTCAATGGCACAGTAGTGAACCTACTATCTGGGAACCTATCACGGTCTCCTGCGTGATCTCTAAGAGCTCGAAATATGTAAGGTAGCATTAATATCAGAAGTGAAGATAGTTTAAAGAAAATGAGCAGCTATGTTTCCAATAGGTTTAAATAATGTTTATGGAGACATTAATGGAGTAATGTTATGTCAAACGACAAACTGATCTGTTCTTTTGAAATGCACTCTGGTGAAGAATGAAACATTTGAAATTCTAGCTGGTGTGTGTGCGTGTGCGCGCATTTATTGCCTGTGTCTAGTTGCCCTTCAGAAGGTAGTGGTGAGCTACCTTCTTGGAACTGCTGCAGTCTACCTTCTGCAGTTTGACCAACAATACTGTTAGGGATGGCATCCCAAGATTTTGACTCAGCAACAGTGAAGGAACAGCCATATATTTCCATGTCAGGCTGGTGAGCGACTTGGAGGGGAACTTGCAGGTGGTGATGTTTCCATGTATCTGCTGCCCTTGTCCTTCTAGATAGAAGTGGTTGTGGGTTTGGAAGGTGCTTTCTCTGGTGAATTTCTGCAGTGCATCTTGTGGATGGTATACACTGCTACTACTGAGGGTCAGTGGTGGAAGGAGTGACTGTGGTGCCAATCAAGCAGGCTGCTTTATCCTGGATGGTGTCAAGCTTCGAGTGTCATTGGAGCTATACCCATCCAGGCAAGTGGTGAGTATTCCATCACACTCCTGACTTGTACCTTATAGATGGTGGACAGGCTTTGGGGAGTCAGGGAGTGAGTTACTCACCACAGTATTCCTAGCCTCAGTCCTGCTCTTGTAGCCAGTGTTTATGTGATGAGTCCAGTTGAGTTTCTCGTCAATAGTAACCCCCAGGAAGTTGATAGTGGGGCACTTACTGGTGGTAACACCATCGAATGTCAAGTGGTAATGGTTAGATTGGCTTCTGTGTGCAGCAAATGTGACGTGCCACCTGTCAGCTCAAGCCTGGATATTATCAGAAGTCCTATGTATTTTAAGATGGACTGCTATAGTATCTGAAGAGTTGCAGAAAGTCTTGAACATTGTGGAATCATTGGCAAACATCCCCACTTCTGTCCTTTTATGATGAAGGGAAGTTCATTGATGAA